CCACAGATCTCGATATCATGGCGGTGAGAAACTCGTCCTTGACCTCTACATGACAATTGTCAATGCCTACTGGTGGTAGAGCACACCGTTGAAGTGGCTTATGTATGTGCAACCCTCTCGGCCACGTTGCGAAGCCAGAATAGTAACACAGAAAATAACGGCACGTTGAGGGTTGCACACCCTGGGATAACCAAGTACTGAAAACAAACGGTCTAGACTCGGCCGATCAGTGATCCCGTTTGCATTTTGAAGAGATGGTCATTTGTTCAACAGAAATTGAGCAATGTGACGGCCTGATCCTGAACAGGGATTATCTCGGCTTGTTGACCTGATGGGTGATATTGTCATAGTAGTAGTGGTGGTGAAGGTGGTGGTTCAACGGGAGCAACCCTTGTAATCGGGATAAAAGGATCTTGGTTTGGTGCCTAAGGAGATCGCGTATCGCGTATTTGAAAGGGGGGAGATTGGGTGCCAATTACTGTTAATGGAAAGTGTACGGAGCATTATAGTATAGCCTCGTCATCATCCCCTTTGTTTTTCTTTTTTGACTATTCATAGCTCGATAGCCCTTTTGTGGGACTAGGTATGCTAGGTATAAGCTCCAGTCAATAGTTGTATATCTTATCAAGATGGGTAACCGAACACTGGGGCTATGCTGTACTCCACGGAGAAATATATTCAAGACAGAATGTCTCTTCCGTCTCACCCTCAAACTGTTTGCTTATGAAACATTGAGGATCCTAATTATGACTTGCAGCTGTTTCTATGTACATTGTCTAACTGTTTTGGCAGCTTTGGCTTTCTTTGTGCAGTCAGGTTTCACTTAGGGGTTTAACCCACATAGAAGCAAACGAAATGTAGTACTTTTTTTTGAGTTACCAGGAAGAAAAGCGGGGAGAAGTAAATTGAAAGAAAAGGAAAAAAGAGGAAACGAAAAAAAAGAAAGGTTTAGTATCTCCAACCCTTTTTATTTCATTCGTTACTATGTGGTTTGTTGAATAAATCGCTAAAGCTTACCCTTCCCAGCCCATCAACAGTAACAAAGAATATACATGATGCCAATTGACAGGAAACCACTGGCAATCAAGTAAGGCCTTTCTGCTTATGACAAATAACTCTCGATAGGGCATAGAATATACTCTCGGGAACGTCCCCAGATAACTCAATGCTGGTCGCCGATCTGGCTTCCGGCAAGATTGGTGTAGATGGCGTGGCCTTCTCTGCCCCTGATCAGTCCCGACAGCCAGGTACAAAGCAACCCACGCGTAACAAATTAAGACGCCTAGAGGCATCCAGACCTAACCTTTGCGGTACCATGGAACCACGACGGATCTAAGAGATGTTTACTCAAATCTAAATGTATTAGGGCCAATCCTAATGGCCCTTTTCTTTTCCCTCATTGCTTTCTTTGTGTTCAATGTCAATGAAGCCTTCGTACGGTGGTGGTTGTAGTGCGCGAGCCATTCCGTTTACTAGCGACGGAAACAAACCCCCGGACATTACCGACTAGAATAAACGAAAGGGGGTTGCCACACTGTCAAACTGTCTTTTTTTCCCCCACCATTAAAAAAAAAAAAAATCAATCTTTATGTGCATATTTCCTTTATCATTTTTTCCGTCCTCATTCTCTCTATTGTGCATAAGTCGCTAGCCAATGGCATTTTACCTAGTCGTTAAGCCTGGCAAATATTCCATAGAGCTGAAGGGAAGGGAGGGCGAAAAAGGACAAGAACAATAGCTGAGGTGCTTTTAGGACCCTGGCGAATGTTTGCTTACGATGATAGTTGCTGTACTGTACTTTAGCTACAACCAACCATTCCATGTTTACGGTACGGGTTGGGTTTACAGACGACTCCTGACTCTTAGCTTCAAGGCCTAGAAATCCCACATCCCAGTACTCTGGGCCATGCACAAGCCTCTTCGTTCCTACGGTGGACGATCATTTCGGCTCTGGCAGCTATCGCCGCGTTTCATTGGCTCACCCGGAACTGCGACTAACTCTCGGGGCACATCGTATTTAGATCCGCCCATGATCGAAGGCCCATACTCTTAGGTCGACGGTTCTCCCCTCCCGTGGCCCATCGCAATTTCGTCCTTTCGCCTTAGAGCCGTTCGCAATCATAGCCCAGTTAGTCGGTACTTCGGGACTCCGGCTTGGGTCGGTGATCTACGCCGTTCGCAAGTTGCGTATACGGTTCTCTATTGCTCGAATACTCGTTAGAGATGTATGCACTTGTACTATCTCCTGAAGGATGTAACGGTCGCCCGTGAGCGGTGACACCGATGTAGACCTACAGTTGTACAAGGAGCATGATCTCATCATCGCCACTCGTGTCAGGTAGGTTATATGTATATGTATGTATGTATGAACGGAGGGCTGCCTGAGTCAGGTGACGACGGCGATGGCTCGGCGAGTCCGACTTGCCCATGCCGGCAGTGGCACTACGGTAACTATGTACATACGTACTCCGTGTATACGTCTCTTGGCGTTGTATCATCACCTGAAGGGTCCTGGAACTGAAGAGGATCAACCTGCATCTGAAGATTTGCATTCGCAAGAACACTACGTAACTCTGAGACCATGCATCAGCAAAGGTACTTTTTCTTTTGTCCACAGGCACCTGAGCTCGGAGCTGGATGGCGCGTATATACGCTTCAGTAGGTAAAAACAGACGCAAACTCTTCCTTCCGTCTGGCCCAAGCGCGGGCTGTGTGGGACGGACCTGACGAGATGCGGGCCTGTGCGGGATCTAGACACCCAGGAGGGTGGCTGCTGGTTGTTCATGTTCCATGAACTTGCGGTACAACATGCCATACTTTATTAAAGGGTGTGTACATGCTCTAGTTTGAAATGAGAGGGGGGGGCATCAGGTCCAATGCTAGACGAACTGGGGGGTGAAGAATGTAACTCTATTACTACATCGTGTACTCACGTACAGAGGGGGGAGTAGATAGGTAGATAGGTAGAGAGATGGTTAGATAGGGCCAAGCTATACTTTTAATTAGGCGGGGTTGAGGGCTAAAGAAAAAAGGCACCCTAATGAGATAGTTAGATTGCGGACTTAAGCACCAGATGACGGGTTCAAAAGGTCCCACACGATATCTCTCGCAAAGAGACCGGATTGATGGAATATTCGCTTTTTTTCTAGGGACTTATATCAAGATTGTTATTGATCCCTATCATCTCTCTATCGCGAATTCGGCAGCTATACCGGCAAGCATTATCTACCAACGATACTAGCGTCTGCCAGGGTATCAGAAAAACCAAGTCTCAGATGGTCCCCGAACGACGGTCACTGGAGCTGGATGTGGCGGTTGCATTCTTTAGTTAAACTAAAAGACTAGTGAGGTTGACTAAAGTGCTATGGAGGTTAGTGTGGTGCTTTTGTCATTTTGAAGTATACTTCGTTAATTAAATGAAGGAAAATAATTTAATGAACATTTGGTAGGGTTTGTCGCCAAAACTGCTTGTGGAGACCAATAATGGAGACGCCACTAGGCTGCTCACTGGCCGCTCCGAACAAAGCCTCTGGGGGCGGTTGCACAGCTGCCAGAAGCTAAAGTGGTCGATCTACAAATAGTAAAACCAGGATGTAAGAAATTAAATTTTCATAATAATAATAAAATTATGATAATAATAATAACGTTATTATTTTTTTTAATTTCCAATTTTTTTTAAAAAAATCATTTTTTTTTAATTCACAAAATACTTCGAACTAAAATAAATAAAATCAGAAAATCATTTTTTTATCGCCCTACTGCATGTCCACTTCCCAGAGATGCAGCCGCAAGTGGTCTACCGGTGCCTGTTAGTCCCTGTCTTTTCGTGTTTCGGCTTCTGATGGGCTCCAGGATCATGGATGATCCTGGGTTGCCCACTTGACTACTAGGCCCATCATGCCAATGCCAGATTGGGACAGTTCGATACCACCACCGGGGAGGGGGTGGACGACTAAATGGCCGGGGGAGAGTGTGTGGGTTCTTCTGTCTAGATGTAATCGATCAATCATTCAAAATCTTGCATACTCATAACCCAGTCCTTTCCTTTTCTATTCTCCATCTTCTTTTATAAAGTCACCCATTCTTCCTTGTTATTTGTGACTTCTACTTTTCACTCTTACCCATCCTTCTCTTAACTTAACAAGGACTTGACAACCCCCCAGTCAAACAACTCTGTTACACCAACCGTTTACCTCTTCTAGTACATACATACATTCAAAGGAAGAAGGCCTTCTCGCATTCGCTTCAACTCTGCTGCAGTTGATCTTACTCCGTCTTGTGTGCCCAAAGCCGGTTACCAACAGTTTAGTACAGCCTGTGGTGGTGCTTCTGACATCCTCTCTCGACTTGCCTGTCAGCACCTTGATTGGCCTTTGACAACTTACGCTTATCGCTGTGTGCTGTGAGTAGCTGGAGCCTATGCATACTTTCCCACTTCTCTCTCTGTTTGACGGACATTGGGGGGATCCAGGATGCTGCCAACACTGTCGGGGAATTACACCAGATAGCAGCGGGATTGCGGACCCCACGTTGTACCGTTCCATACGACTCATTATCGTATGCCTTGCTATTGCAATTCGTTGCTTGATGAACCTCTGTACCTTACCATGGCCAAGCTGGTAGCTAACCAAGTCCCGTTGGCACCATAGTTGCCACTACATCTGTAGTTTTCCAGCTCAAACGCGGCCACGTCCTGTTCGACCAAGTCACTTTCAATAGAGGGGTTTTTTGTTATTCCCTCAGCGTCGACTTGAATTATCCTATCGCAGTGCATTTGTTTCTGGACCTCGAGCAGATACAAATTGCCGCCCTATTCGCGCTCAGTCGACACTCCATCGAGACCTCGAGGCCTTCTCTATGTTCCATATTGTCTACCAGTCTCTCTATCTCTGACCAAGCTTTCTTTTTCCTCGTGAATAAGAAAGCCACTCAGACCTTCTGATCACTACCCTTTCCCCTAACTGGCACTTTGACTTGATCTAAACATTTCTCAAGACATCATGGTTGTCAGTGCATCCGTTTCCGGCACAGGAGCCGTCAAGAGGCCAGCGTCCTCTATGCATGATGATTATACTGGATGGGAAACCGCCCCAGTAAGCAGAAACAAAGCCAAGCCTATATAAGACAATCACTGACCATGCAGGCTATGGATGTCACCATGCGTACATCTTTCAACCTCCCTTACACCCATTATGCAATGATCTATCTCGACAACCTCGGAAGACTTAAGGTTCAGGAATCTTCGTCTATCCGGGAAACAAATGGTACTGTCTTTACCCCTGACGTACAGGATAAGTTCTTGGAGATACTTGGAGCAAAGATTGGGTACCGCAGGCCCACCATTCGCAGTACGTATAATAACTAGTTCCTAAGCCTCATGCACGGTTTGGCTGATCGCTTTGAGTAATAGAATACTCAGGTATGGGAGCATCGCTATATGGCTACCCGCGCCCCGACGACTTTTCTCGCCATGTAAAGCGACGCAAGCCTTCCTTCCAAGAGCATGTTCTTGAACCACATTTTCCTGAACCTGTTGAGGAAGTACCTGCCTCCACAAGTATGGTAGGCATTGAGATCGGGGACACTGAGAAAATCCTCGAGTACTACGAGAATGCCCTGAAGCATTTCCAGCAGCTTAATTGCCGCCAGATTGCCAAAGCTTTTATTAAATTCATTGAACCTCGGAAGCAAGTTAAGCATCCTTACAATGGAGGCAAGCCCAGAGCTGGAGCTGCCTCGGGTGAGAAGGGAGACCCGGAGAAGACCAAGCCTGAGTGGTGGCCAGCTGGAGTGGTCCACAAGGAGCCCGACCACCTCAGGAAAGAACGTGAGTAGATGCGTCCCGCCGATAAACAGGCTATCCATACTCACAACCATCAGAACGCATTCGACTCCTCATCCATATCGTGCGTAAGCTCGGGAAATTCGGAATCACCCCCGACAAGCTGCAAGAAGTTGCACATGATTCTAAGAGACAACTGAGACCTACCTCGAAGATTGAGGTCTTAGACGAGGTTTTCAAAGTGCGGAGGATGGAAGAGAGATATGAACTTGGTGAAGTTGGTATGTCTACCTTTATAGACCTTCGACCCTATCTCAAGCTAATGCTTTACTAGATGCGAACTGTGTCGTTTATGTCCAGAACAGAGATGCCAGCACGAAGGACAAAGACTCTGACACCATCAGTGAGCCAGAACAAAAGTTAGAGCCCGAAGACCTGGAGGAAGCTGATGACGAGTTCCTCACACCTCCATCGTCGGCCGAGCAAGCTTCCTCGTTCACGTCCTCCGTGGACATGACTATGGGTGGACATGGCCGCCCTGTGCACATGGGAGGGGACAGGGGCCAGCTATTCCCATTGCCTGAATCATTGAGTTTCGGAGAGCAATCTGCGCATGAGCGCTCTTATTACGGTAACTCTGAGTACCCGGATGAATACTCCCATCCTATTCTTAAGACACCCGTAACGTCGGGACTTGTGACTCCAAACGAACAGCCCAATGCGTTTGATTACTTACAGGCGCCATTCTCAGCTTCAACAACAGGAGAGTCGATAATTTCTCACCAGCGCCCAACCGCTTTGCCTATGCAGCCATCCGTTAGTCAATTCGATGCCTGGACACCATCCTACCGACAGAGCATGTTCAACCCTATGGAGTATGGCTCTGCGCCCGCTCAGAACATTCCGCAACATATGCCTTACCACATACCGCTCACTACTGCTTCGCACGCAACAGAGCTGGCTCATACTCCTCATGGCCTGCCGAAAGGAACCCCCTTCCGCACAGGATCCTTGAGTCACCCTCATATGATACCTCACCATGCATAAACACTTCCGGCACATCTTCTATCCGGGTATCAAAGCTGCGACCTCAGTCTGAGCTCGAATGACACGCACGATTTGTATGAACTTTCAATAGACTTCTGCTGCTTCGCGATTTCACAACACACCCCCATTCAGACAAATTTGTCACCACTTGGTGACTTTTCGCTTCTTTGATTCATATTTCAGGCTCCATATATACGTTACGCCTCTTTTATATGTTTTTTTCTTCTACTTGATTTCAATCTTTGCAACTACGTGTTATGCATTGAACAGAAATGTTTTTGATGGCGCCTTGGGACGGATGTATGCTGCAGATATTTTTCTTCCCCCTTTTCTTGTTTTTATTTTTGTGTGGTGGATTTCACCCTTTGTGTGGATTTTTTCTTATGAAGTATTCGAGCGAAGGCGTCCATATACAGGCCATGTGCTTCGTGGCTTCGGAAACCAGAAGCGACGGCCTGAAATGAGGATTTATTGGTTATAGAAGCGGTGGGCGTAATTGTGGCCACAGTGGCTTTCTGGGTTTTGTGGAGCGATATTGGTTTCAAAAGCGTGTTGCACGTATTTTAAGTTTTATCTTGAATCCATATGTTTTTTTTTTCTTCGAATACGATCCAAAATCCTGAACCAGTGGATAAGAAAGCGAAGACTGAGTAGTAGGTACGGATAATCAATAAGCCGGTGTCAAACTGTGATTGCCCACTGGAGCTAGGCGCGCGTTAGCAGCGCTTGATACAATTGGTCTGTGCGTTTTACCGGGCATTGACACAGGTGCAGCTGACGGAGCTTCGCTGAAGACTGGATAGAAACCAACCATAACCCCCTTCTGCAATCCTCATTCGAGACGATCAAACTGAACGGGCCGAGCCAACTTAGAACCAATCAACCTAATTTCGCACTCCGAAATTGCGCATATCTCTACCGAACATCCGTCAATTTTGGATGGCCGCTTTGCCCGCGCGGCGGTTTCTCCCCACGATCTGAGGCCCCATCCGACCTGGCTTGCAACGTCGCTGCGTTGCTGCAAAGGCTTCTGTGTATGACTTTGTTTCTGTCTTAAGGAAGACTTTCCATTGTCAATACTCGCGTCGAAAGGTACTGCGCCATCATCGTTTCCTGCTTTCGCTTTAGCCACAGGTCCCGTACAAGATTGTTCCTTCACCATCTCTTTTTCCCTTTATTCACCCTCTCTTTCTTCTCGATCGTGTTACCATGAAAACTGTGTTACTTCCGGCGCCATCCTTGGCTAACTCTTTCGTCACGCTCCTGCCAATGGTTTTCGGAGGATAGCACTTTTAGGATATCTCATTCATCGCCTCCCACCTTTACATCCGACGGCCCGCAACTCCTGTCAATGATTGGGATCTAATCGGACAAAACTTGATAACCTCGCGAGAGGGGAAGCCCTGACCACTTCAGGCGTATCCTTGTCCACTGTTCCCGCCTTGCTTGCGACAGAATGGCCGGTCCGCCAAACCCATTTGCTGGCCTTGGCCAGAAAGACGGCACAACGGGAACAGCAGGTCGTGGGCGTGGTGGTACACTTGGGCGTTCGACGCCTTATCAAGCAAGAAATGGAAATGTGCCCCACAATCCCAGAGCCCGTGGTCGCGGACGCGGAGCAATGACGGCTCCCAGGGCTACTCGTGGCCACGGCCGTGGGGGTGGTGCTGTGGGAAACAGCTGGCGCAAACCCGACTCGAACGGTGGTCCATCCACAAATGTGGCTTCGCCTTTCGCTCAATTGAAACAGACCGGGAACCAACCCTCTCCATCGCCCTTCGCTGGGAAGACTGCTCCGCAAAAACCTTCTTTTCCCGGGTTCGGGAAAGCGCCGTCATTTGGGGGCCCTTCCACTTTCGATGGGACCCAGGTCGATTCAAGCCGTGATCCCCGGAAGCGGCCTTCCTCAATACGGCCAAACAGAGCGACCATGTCCAGTGTACCTGTCGAAGATGTGACTGTTTCAAACAACTACAACGATCGTTACGAACAGGTCGGTCTTCATTTGCTATCCAGAGAGAGAAGTGGATTAACATGCTAATGGAATACACAGCTCAAACTCGATAGGGCTAAACAGAGAGAAAAAGCAATCAGGGAAGGACAAATGGCGGATCCAAACCAACCAACTTCTTTGAACCAGGCCATCACACCTGTGGGAACATGTACTAGCATGTGTCCGGAGTTTGAACGCGTTGAGCGCATCGTTCAGAAGATGGTTGATAAGAGTGAAAAGGTATTCGTGTCAATCAGTATCATTGTTCGACCTGCACTTACATTCCGGACCTAGTTGCTTCATCCTTCAACAAATTCGTTGCAGAACCTTGAAACCAAAATGCTCAAACGTTTCCGAAGGTCGGCTGCTGGCTATGACGAGCAACTTCCATCCGATATTCGAACGCCAAAGACCCTTCTCCAGACCATGAACTACTTAATCCGTCATGTACTCGGCGGACCCGAGCCCCTGGGGCTGATTCATAAGTTCGTTTGGGATCGAACTCGATCGATTCGCAATGACTTCTCAGTCCAACAGCTCACCCAGGAAGACCATGTGAAGATGGCAGTCACTTGTCTTGAGAGAATTGCCCGTTTTCACATTGTATCACTCCACCTGCTTTCTAGCCCTGCCAACGAAGAACCGTTCGATCATCACCAGGAACGTGAACAGCTCAACAATACGATGTTGTCGCTAATGTACTATTATGACGACAATCGAAGCCGTATTATGTTTCCAAACGAAGATGAATTCCGCGCGTATTATATTATCTTTTCTATTCTCGATCAGCGGCCTGATTTGGAAGCGCGTGTCCAAAAGTGGCCAGCTGAGCTACGCAATTCTCCGCGAGTGCAATTAGCACTGGAACTATTGGCTACTGCTGGTAATGGGTGGGAGTATCAGGGGACTCTCGACTCTAAAAGGCAGAATGCAATTGCACAGGGCTTTTATGAGCGCTTTTTTAGTCTGGTGGACTCTCCAGCTGTTTCATATTTAATGGCCTGTGTTGCAGAGATCTACTTCAACAACGTGCGATTGACTGCTATCCGCTCGATTTGGAAGGGGTATTGCCGATATCCGTCTTCTCAGCAACATAAAAACGAAGAATGGACTGTAGATGAGTTAACGAGGGTGCTATACTTTGACGACACTGAACAGACTATCAAATTTTGCGAAGAACAGGACTTGGAATTTGCTGAAAACGCAAATGGCGACCTATATTTGAACTGGGGGAGCCGTAACATTGACTCAGTCGGTATGTTTAACCCTCGATGATGAAACCGCTTGGTCTCTTTTGCTAGTTGAAGAGACCTTCGCTTTGACCGGATAATGGAGAACGTTTCTAGATATCTGTCTGTCGATTTACTGCATTTTCTCGACTGACACATGAATGACAGAGTTCCGAAGAACATCAGACCATACATTCTCAGAGACGTATGTCGAGTCAAAGCGTGCAGGCCGCACGTTGGTCGCAATAATTCTTGGCTTGAATATCAAGCAAGCAGCGCAGTTAGGGATGGTTGACAGTTCGGTTCTACAAGAGCTCCCTATGGCTTTGTCTGCAGCAACGGGGGATTCTGCAGACGACGATGCACTCTTCGTCAGCGACGACGATAACGAGACACCACAACCAAATGGGGACTTTGCGCAGGATTTGCTAACATCCGCAGATAGTCTTCGCGGGGGTTTTGAGGAATCTGCACAAACATCAACAAGTGCTGAGCCGACGCAAACAGCAGGCGTATTCTCCCAGACGCCTAGTATGTTCCAGCCGTCTGAGGGTTCTAAGTCACTCTCCTCATTATTCGCACCTGGCCCCTCGGCTAGCGCTCTCACAGAATCGGCGCCGTCTAACCCATTTGCAGGCCTGTCTTCTCTCGCACCCTCGAAGACACCTGAGACAAACAACAGCAGTTCTCCATTCTCCTTTGGGCCAAACACTTCGCAGTCCACTTCCATTTTTACCGCGGCACCGGGTCCGGCGAAGCAGCAAGAGAAATCCGATGCGCCTAAAGCTGTCTCCGCGGCACCTGCCTCCAAATTCCCTAGTCTATTTCAACCCAGTACGACGCCGGCCAACTCACCTTTTAGTTTTCCGACAACCTCATCTAATGCCAAACCCCATCAAGCTGCTGAGTTAACTGCTGGTCAGTCTTGCAGTATATTCGATACCGCCAATGTACCAACCCCTTCCGGCGCGCCTAGCACCATGTTCAATACTGCTGCTCCAAGCACTGTTCCTAGCGATACAGGGAGCTCGGCCCAGACAAGTTCTCCGAAGATCACACAGGGACCCTTTGCGCAGCCCTCAACAGCCTTTAGGGCCCCGTTTGTGCCAGAGAATAACGGTATGATTCGTGCCCAATGCAAAAGCTCATTCATAACAGGCTCTAATAACTTTATAGAGATTCCCAAACCCTCATTTTCCGAGTCACCCTTTGCGCAGCCGAGTTCCATTCTTGAGAAGCCCACAGATAACAGTGCAGGGCAAGAGCACCCTGCAAAATATGAGGCACCTACATTCACAGAGATGACAACTGAGGAGCCTGCATCGAACGACGGGCTTTCTTCGTTACACAATAATGACACTGCCCAGCAGCAGCAGCAGGATATGGATTCATCATCACTAGAAGAAAACAAACCAGCCGAACCTACAGTCCCTACAACATCTGTCATGCCGGAAAATCTAAATCCCACACCTCCTTTGCCTACAGAGCTTACAGAGCAAACTGTGGATGAGGCGACTTCTGTCGGTAAGTTAACTCGTGGCATTAATGCAAGGCTACTCCTATGTGCAGTGTAACGCTAACTAATATAATTTTCCAGCTCCCGATGTGAACGACCGACGTTTAGCTTGGATAGAAACTTTAAGAGAAGCAGCCGATAAGCGACGGAGGACCTCTTCCACAAGTCGCAAGCGAGTCCATGAAGACCCAGAAGAAGAATTGCCAGTAGAAACCGGCTCTAAGGCCGCGAAATTACCGAAAGCCGAGACCCCTGCTTTACATAAAAAGTCCATGGCGCTTTCCTCTATCAAACCTCTACCGAAGCTTCCTATCCTCGAACAAATCGAGTCAATGACGCGGAAGCCGGCAGCCGAACCCAAACCAGAGCCTCCAAAGCCTAGTCAAGTCGACGAAGATGAACTCCTCCTCTCTGCTGCCCGCATAGCCGCTGAATCTCTCAGGAGCGGTCCAAGACTTATCAACAGCTGGTCTACGAGGTCATCTGAACCTCGGCGCTCGTCTTTCAGCCCTCGAAGCAGTTTCTCTTCGTCATATTCTTTCTCCCGGAGTCAGTCGCCCCAATCGCTTGTGAACGGATATGACCTTGCACTTGCCCCTGACAACGATCTCGGATTGGGCCGCACATTGTCTCGCACGGAACAAAGACTTCGCATGACGGGTGGCAAAGGGTTGGCCTATAAGCCACTGGATTTTACCCCTAGAAAGAAACGAAAATCTAAATAAAGACGATTCGGTAATCAACAGCAACACGATTGCCCATTTATGCGCATCTTCAATCTCGCACAGTTATATGCGCTCATGGCTGACATTGGTTCTTTCGGTAGAGCCGTTGAAGTACATATTATATTGGTTTTGTTGGAGTTCACTATCTGCATTAGGAGACGGCGTTATGCGAATTCTATGTTTACTTATGGTTTTGAGAGTTGCTGCATACCTGGGTCTCAAGCATGGCGCGGGAAAGATCATATACCTCGATTTGTTCTGGATCTTAGCGAGTGGGATTCATCTGCGCCCACCTTTAGTTTAGGCAGTCCTTTCTATTTTATTTTATTTTATTTTTATTTTTATTTTTTGTATTTCATCGAATGCATTGAATGCATCTTGTCCAAGGGATTTGTTGTACTATGATGAATCTGTACGATTTCCGTTCCACTACTCGTTTACAGATAGAGAGAACATAGCCACCTGCCTTTAGAACACAAGATACCTACTCTCTCCATTGGATGTGATCAGGTATGAAATTGAACAAGCGGAGTTTGAGATAGTTCAATATGTAAGTAGGAGTGTGTGAATCCTACGAGGGTGGTGGCCTTGAACTGCTAACGAACATAAAGTCCAGACCCACCGCCCAACTGGCGAAACCAATCAGATCCAACAACATCACCTATCGAACTTTCAATCAACCGGCGCTACTCATCGATTTGATACTATTTACAAAAAAGACTACCCAAATATTTCGCCATCATTGCTATTCCAAAGCAAGTAAATTTTCTTTGTACTGAGTTCGGCCAACAGGTTCGGCCGTCTGCATTCGCCATCCGCTCTCCTGCAGTCCATCAGTGCGCTGCTTTTAGTACCCAAAGGAGATACCCACCAAAGCATCATTTCACACCATTCCCTGCTCTGCGTACATACAACCAGCAGCGCAGGGAAATGAGAATCGCCACTTTACAGTTCGCCCCAAAATTGGGGGATGTGGAAGGCAACATCAGACGGGCCAATGAATTGCTGCAGAATGGCAAAGTGCTAGGAGGTGTTGGGATTGGAGTCGACGTCCTGAAACCGGAGATTCTGATATTGCCCGAGTTAGCTTTGACTGGTATGTTTTGTGTTAGTCTCTGTTGACGGACGCCAATGCTGATGCTCTATGCGAAGGTTATAACTTCCCTTCGCTGGAGGCTATCAAGCCATATCTGGAGGCCGCGGGGAAGGGCCCATCAGCCACGTGGGCACGGGAAACCGCCAGGCGCTATCGGTGCAAAGTGTGCGTTGGGTATCCCGAGGTCGAGGAAGCAGGGGTAAGCCAAGGAGACGGTCCGAGTAGTCAGCAGGAGACGTACTACAACTCTCTGCTTGTGGTTGACGAGCACGGGGAGGTTCTGCACAACTACCGCAAGACGTTTCTGTACTATACGGATGAGACATGGGCCGCCGAAGGTGATGTGAAGAGGGGCTTTCGCGAGCTTACCTTTGGGAATTCACCAGAGCAGAATTCTCCCAGCACCAGCGTCGCTACTTCATTCGGAATATGCATGGATATCAACCCGTATAAGTTTGAGACGCCGTTCACCGCATGGGAGTTCGCGAACCGAGTGCTGGATTCGAAGTCTCAACTCGTCATCCTTTCCATGGCTTGGCTAACGTCGTTGGACCGCGAAGAGCTCGACGCTCTCGCTGGGGAGCCGGAAATGGATACCTTCAACTACTGGATCCAGCGGTTTTGGCCCCTCATCAAAAAACGATTGCGTCATGAGGTTAACTTTGATGGGGATGATGCGGAGTCTGGCAAGAAGACTGTCATTGTTTTTGCGAATCGGGCGGGTGAGGAACCAGGTCCTGAGGGAACCAACCCGGTTCTGTACGCTGGCACGAGTGCTATTATTGCTGTTACGCAACGGCCGCGTCGCCCCTCGGCCGATGGAGAACCCAGTGCTGTGGACAAAGGCTCTAGGAATGGGTCTGATGAGGAGGAGAGTGGGGACAAGGATACATCGCCGTTTGATGTGAAAATACTTTGCTGGGATATGATGGCCGCGACAGCCGAAGGGATTTGCTTTGCGGATACTACGATGGACCCAAAAATGGTTTTCGGCTTAGTTAAAGCTAATAGATAATGTGATTGAGCTTTGGGGAAGTATCCATGGCTCGGGCAATAATAGTATCCTTTCATAAGTGCCGATCCATGGGAAGTATAGCATGCTTGGGGCTTTTCATCGCGCAATCTGGATGCTTCCGTAGCTGGTAATGAATGGTCTATAACATACCTCCTACAAGAGCTGGGTTGTCGGGATCGTGAATATGCTACAACAGGCAACCCGTTTTCTTCCATCTGTTCAACTATCGTCGCACGTCTTGTGCCTCTTCTTGCAAACGATCGTCTTACAGTAAGTTCACGAGTGGCCGGCCAGCATTCCGACGAACGTCTTGCCACACTTACACGTCCCAGAGTCATGTGAGTCACTTGACCGTCATACTGAATGCTGGTCCATGTGACATTTCTTTCTTTTTTGCAAAGACAGGGGGAATCTAGATTTAAGAACCCGGAGAATAACCATTTAATAGGTTCTCAGGCAGTAGCCCCGATAAACTATCGTCTCGGTACCTCCCTCGTTCTTCACGCGCCCGACTTTTTCTTTCGCATTCCACTTATCTTATGACCAGAGTGATCGGCACCTTTCCAGATGGTGTCGAGAAGCCAATCTTGATGGGTGAGAACAGGTTTTCTTACTACAACCCTAGCACACCCCCCCCCCCACAAACCATAGGCCTCAGATTGGACACTGTCGCGGAGTGCAGAACGCAACTGGGGGGAGGGGAGAGCTGAGCCTCTAATATGCGCGCGGTGGGCACATGTGACACTAGGGTCAGATGAAGTCATGTTCTTTGGGGGGCAGTAAGCTAAATACTAGTATGATGGAGGGATAAAGAAAACACGCGGAGCTCCAATGGGAAAGTATCTCAAGTCCGGAAGGTTCAGCGAAAGACTTTTACTGCGTCTGTCAACTGAGACAACTAATCTTTGGGAAGGTGTCCTCCGTGCTGAGCTATTGAACTATCGAGATGTTTTTTTCTGCCAATGAGGGGGCTCAGAAACCCCGGCAGACTGAAACGTTGAATGATTGCAGAAAGATTAGATCGGGGGGAGGGGATGGGGCTGTTAAGGTTAGTGATCCTGTTATACCTCGACGACCAGGCGGACTAAGGCGATCGGCATCTAACAGAGGAGATATCGAGAGACATGGCATGATCCCCGTCATTCGTCGACTAAACAACTGATACTATGCTTTTTGGACCGTGCAACCTAAGCAGGGACCAAAGGAGGGACGGGCCGGTCGGGATGAGCAGGCACTCCCAAATGGGGGGGATTTAGTCCTCCAATGACACCATACTGCAGGAGAAGGCAGTGGCCATTATTCGACAAACACTGCAGACCTGGGGGAACATCGCAGAGTTACTAAGAGTTACTAAGAATTCATGATCTTCGGCCTATCTTCGTTCAGGAGGGCTGCAAGGTCCCACGTGATTTCCGGGTGAACCCCTCCTCCGGCAACCGGCCACGGCGAAAACAAGCAGCCAATCAGCGGTGCCAACGGGGACCTTGGGTGAGGAGGGGGCACGGGATTACAGCACATGACATCTGAATGAGGAAGAAGGAGGGAAGGAAGAAAACCGGTTGGGTTAACTTGGGAGGGACAGAGATTGGTTGATAATGAGCGGACTGACTCGGTGCAAAGAACTTCCCAAGTTGTCCTGCGATGGAATGATCGATGGATCGATAAAGGAAAGAGATAAAGAGAGGCTCCGTTGTCCCGTGACTCGAGTGCACACCAGGTCACAACCGGTCACCGCATTCCTCCTCTTTTTGGCCAAAGGCTTGACCTCGTCTTTCGCCCTCGCCACGTGAGCAATCCCTCTCTACTCGACTCTCTCTCTACACCTCCATGTATCCCTACTTTCCATTGTAAAAGCCGCCACTTCTTTTTGTTCGTTTTCAAATCCGACTTGTCCGCTGTGTTGAAGCCGGACGTTTCTGCCTCGACCATTTCTTCCCGGTACAAATTTCGTTTTCTTGCTCTCACGATCGAATCGCGATCATCCTATCTTGTTGTTGCCCGTGGCAGGTGACTTGCTGTCAGGTGATAGATAGCCCATCCCAAGGTACTGCTGCTCCCTTTCTTCTCGTTTCCCTCCTTGTTCGTTCTCCGTTCTGTCAACCGCAACAACCCTCGGCGGGTTGCTGCGACACGTTGCTCCTGCGCTTGTCCCGTCCATCGCCCTGGTGTTCATGCTGTCCGCCATGAACCGGTCGCGAGGAGGCTGTTGCCTATGATGTCGCGCGGTTTCGTCGGTCGCAAAACTGTCAGGGCGCGTTTCGACTGTAGTTCCTTGCTGATGGATACTGCCCGATGTATCTCTATCCGATGGTTTTATTTGTGCACCCGCGTTCCATACGCTTAGTTGTATATGTGAAGAGTTTTGCTTTGCCGCTGGCATAATCTCACTGACCAGATGTTATTGATGCGGATGCGGAGATGCGCGCGTCAACCCCCCTCCCCAAACGCGTCTTCCACCCTCCACCTCAGCATCAATGCAGATCAGCAATATTCACGCTTTTCTATTGATTGAATAATTTTTTATCTAGATTGATATTGCCTATCATATTTTAACACAGCTCTTTCTGCTTTACATGAGGATTGCATCTGCACTACTGACCATTGAGCTGCGATAACTGACAAGAACACATGGTCCATAGATCACTCACTCAACAATAGATTGGTGTCAGTAGCTGTGCAGGAGCGTGGTTTCCCAATCTTATCTAGGGTCTACCTTATCTAGCAGGTAAGCAGGGCCCCCACCGACGCTCCTTTCCACTGGTCTGCTGACTCACTTGTCTGTAGGGTAGTTCACTTGTAATACTCGGCGCCATGTCCGACCCCTCATTGGGTGCCACCGATGGCATGAACAATAAGCGAAAGCGCGAAAGCACTGACAGTACCGGGCCTGATGCTCAGCGATTGAACCGCTCCTCCAACGGAAGTAACGGCAGTATTCCAGCCCCAGACACCCAACCTAATTTCGGGCATGCCTCTCTCGGGTCTTATGATACCCATGGCCTCCCTGGCGCAGCATCCGAGCTTAATATTGACCAGCAAATTCTCCAACATGTCGGTCCGCAGAACGGTATCTCTGATGAGAATGCTCTGACAGCTAAAGCTGCTTTAGCCGCGCACCAACCGCAGAATAAATACCCGCCTCCCCCAGACGCGACATTTGACAGTAGCCTTCCACATGGCCTGACGTTCGGCGATGAGATGGGCCAAGCGATAGGTGGCGCTCATGGTCACAATTCAACTGCCGCTGCTGTCTATGCTGCGCGTGAAGCACAAAGCATGAACCAAAAGCCCTCCGTTGGGTCGCCGGAATGGCATCAAATCCGCAAGAACAATCACAAAGAAGGTCGGTCGCTTTCCCTGCGTTCTTTCGATCCTGTTACTGACTTGTTCAAAAGTGGAACGCCGACGCCGTGAGGCGATCAATGAAGGTATCAATCAGATTGCTCGTCTGGTTCCAAATTGCGACAAGAACAAGGGTGCTATTCTGCAGCGCGCCATCGAGTACATTTGTCAGCTTCATGACGAAAAGAAGGCCATGGGCGAGCGATGGGAGCAGAATAACATGACTACAAGTCATGCCATCAATGAGATCAGCGCACAGAACTCCAAATTAAAAGTCGAGGTCAATCGCCGTGGAGACATTGCGCTCAAGTGGTTGCAACGCTGTCGCGATGCGGGCCTCGAATTCGACGATTATGAGGAGGCCAAGGAGCTGGAACCTCTCGAGGTTGATCAGGGCCAGGTTTGACATCCGGTTCACTTGTCTTTGTTGCGTACACATTAGTCGCGAGACTCCTTTCTGCGATGATCTTCGTTCCATTCTAAACGTGCCATGACTTATTTACTTCTCTTTTTTTGAAGGCTGGGAACCCTGACATAACCACTCTCTCTCGACATCTCCTTTCCTCTTCACATTTCGATTGTCCTCCCTCCCTTGAATAAACTTTTCCAGATTTTGCTATGATGTCATCTAGCAACGGCATCGTGTTTTTATTGAATTTGCAGGTACAGTCTGAGTTTATCTTCCACGGGAGTGAGTACGTGACTAGTCTTTCCACGCTAATTGTTTAAGCCTGGGTTCGGTTTTCTGCTATGTTCTCTTCTCTATTTGCGTTACCCCCCTTCTGAAATTTTTTTTCTTTATTCTTCTATTCTTCGTGTACGCTATCTTTTAAGGATGGGTCGGCGAAACAACGGCTGGGGGTGTGATTAATACGGATGCTGAAACCTGCGATATTGCAGCGCGTTATCGGAATGCAATTCTTCACTTTCAATCTCGCACCGTAGTTGAAAACATCCTTGTGATTGTTTACATGCTTTGATGTGAACAGCTTAGTTTTGTATCACGCCGTAGTGATACCCCAAAATCGAACTTTGTGATGTTCAAGTCAATATGTACAGAGAATGGAAGGTTTGAAATGCAGGAACAAGCACTAGGAGGTTACAAACTGACCACCCCAATGCCGCCCCATCGTAGAGAAGAGAAACTGCAACGAACTTCACCAATCAAACCAAGAACAACGACAATCAAGCAACGACTCAGCCGCGCAGACCAAAGCAGTGCAGTATAAACTACCGCACACTACTTACATCACAACAACACTATCCCCTAAACATTTCCAGAAGCAGTAACCTCCGTCCCGGAAGAAACACCCACATTCTTAACCGTGACAACCTTCCCACTCTTCCCCGTAACCCTCACATCAACAGTCTCAGTCCCGAATCCCGAACTGTTCTCGAAGTAGTTATAGTCCGAGCGAGTAGTGCTCTGCCAGGTGCTTCCACCGTCAGTGCTAACCTCCAACGAGGTAACCGCCTCGTTGGCATTGACAACCTGCATCGAGAACCAGTACGCGGAGGTACCCTCCTTGTTCTTGAGTTTCAGGGGCGAGTCGATGTCGCAGGAGACGTAGGACCAGTTGATGTCGATGACGCCCTTGGAGATGTCGGCTAGCTCGGCGAAGGCAGATTGGAAGAGGTCGAGGTGGTTGGAGTCGCATTCGGGGCATTTGTCGACGATCTTAGTTGGGGTTTTTTTCGTTAGTTTGTGTTTCCCATGGATTGGAAAGGGGGGTGGGAGCTTACCATGGCCTTGATGGTGTTTCCGTTAGGTCCTGTGACGGCAACGCAGGCGCCACATTCGGCGGCGTTGTCCCAGCGTGGGGAGCCGAGGGCTGTGCCGAAGAGGTTGGATGGAAGCGTGTAGCCCGAGAAGGAGCATGCTCCGCCGGAGATGTTGCCGCCGTAGAAGGTGCTTCGCCGGAGTTGGATGCGCTGCTGCTACCGGCTGAGGAGCCGGTAGATGAAGAGGTGGTGGTGGTGGTGGAGGCTGCTGGGGCGGCCGTGCTGGTGGTTGATTGTTTGTACTGCTTGGTTGTAGGGGCAGCAACGGCGGTTGTGGGTTGGACATCAGCAGCGGGGGAAGACGAAGTAGAAGGCTCGGCGACTACTTCGGTGGGCTGAGCATCAGCCGTGGTGGAGGACGTTGTAGCAACAATTGGGGTTGCTGCGGGCTCTTCGGTGGAAGAGGATGAAGTAGAAGGTTCGGCAACTGCTTCTGTAGGCTGAGCTTCAATGGTGGTGGAGGGGGTAGCAATGGTTGGGGCCACCACGGGTGTCTCAGTGGTAGATGATGAAGTGGTAGGCTCGACAGGAGCGCTGGTCTCCACCGGAGCAGGAGTCTCAACCGGAGTAGGAGTTTCAGCCGGGATGGATGTAGGAGATTGGACTGGAATCTCCGGGGTGATGACTGTGGTCTCCGTGACGGTTGACGAGGACTCTAGGGTTGTAGTTGGCTCAACGGATGCAGTCGACGCCGGAGCGGAACTAGCAGTGACAGTCACATAGTATACACTCTGTGTGTATCCTGAAGGACACACCGACTCGCCCTCATGCCGAATGAGAGGGCTTGCAGAGACGGATCCCGAAACACTCAGGGCAGCAAGGCCCAAGGAGGCAAGGCGTTGATACTTCATAGTGGGCTTTTGTAGATGAAAGGTCGTAGGCCTGATGTACGTCTCAATATCGAGGTAAATAATGAAGGAAAAGAGTGATGATGCCTATCTCTCCGCCAGCAAATGAATGTATTTGATGTGAAGTAATGACCGGACGTGCAATCCGCACAGACTTGGATTCAAGGAATGAACGGCTTCTGAATCTCGAGTTCCAGAGCCAGTAGACCTGCTATTTCAAACAGAAAAGGAACGAGTGAGGGAGGAAAATGGGAGGAAGAGGACAGGAAATATAACAGCGGGATCACGGACATGATGGGCGAGACACTGTCCGAAGGCCAGGACACGGCTATGGTTCGTGCAATCCTCACAGTGGATCCGTACTTTGTAGTTTAATTTCCCAACGCCTATAGTCAAGACCGGATTTAGCCTATAGCCATGGCCTGGATGGAGTGATGCCTATCCGGCTGTGGTCCGGATCGGTTGGACCCATCACCCCGATCCACGTTCGGCGTTTCATATAAAAGGCTCATCTCGCTAGTGGGCGAATGATCTCAGGTCAACTGCTACCACTTCATATTATATTCACAGAGTCTTACGATGGATTGATTAAAGATATGACGCTAAAATATTACCATTCTGGAGAGTTCATTTCCTTAGATTGCAGGTGCTCAGCCACCAATAATGCTGCAGCCTGAGTACTGGGTAGATATAATACTGAATGTGTATACTAGATTCTCTCTATGTAAGAACAGCTTAAAGCATTAACGAGTACTGGCAAACACAGGAATCTATAAACACCCTTTCCCTCCGCCGGGGGCCTTCACTGCATGAATCTGCCTCCTATCTACATACAACGAGTGATCCGTAGCTCAATCAGATTGTAAGTGTTACAGCCTTGAACTTAGACGGCCCGGATGGAGAGCCACAGTATGTTTCTTCATGTAGCCTAGTTTTTGAAACCACCGCATCTCTACACCCCCGATGGTCTAGTTGGATATGGCGTCCGGCTGTAATAGAAATTATTATAGGATTTACCTTGGTACCGGAAGGTCGCCGGCTCGATTCCGGCTCGGGGGACGAGATAACTTTTTGCTTTTGGTCCACTTGGTTTCCCTGGTGGGTCAAGCATATCTAATTTTAACGTACTTTACACTCCTTCGGCACGTTTTCTTATCTATCTTACTTACAACAACCACTTCTATGTAGAATTCAAAGTCTTGCACCTCCATACGAAAATTTAGCAGTATGTGACCATTCAGGGTGGCATCATTCAGTATACACTCTTTAAATTACTGACCCTCATAACTCCGCACGCTATCTCCCTTGGGACATTATCTAATTGGAGTCATGCATAGACAGACAGTCAGGGACCGGCAGTAGAATAAATAATCCGATACCCGGTCGGTGCCTGCGTGCGCACATGGTCTAGGGCGACGTGGCATGCGTGCCAGTGGACGCAGCATGTGCCTCCCTGCATACATGCGATGCAGCTGAAGATAAGCGAATAATTGCGCTTAGATAGCAAACCGACGATGGATTCCGGCGAGATTAGGAGCATGCAAGCTAGCTACACCACAGCAGGCAAAATTATAGCTAGAAAGAAGTCATTGAGGGAAAAAAAAAAAAAAAAAAAAACCACCGGTAATTGATTGGGGCCCGGGCGGCTTGGCTATCCGGTAGAGAGAGAGAGAGAGAGGAATCGTCAAAAGTAATAGCGGTTCGGAGAACCATACGAAGGATTATCAAAAAGTTATCGCGTCCCCCGAGCCGGAATCGAGCCGGCGACCTTCCGGTACCAAGGTAAATCCTATAATAATTTCTATTACAGCCGGACGCCATATCCAACTAGACCATCGGGGGTTTAGGCGATGGTAGATCTGAACATTTATGTTATATAAATTAAAGCAATATTCCAAGGCATTCGACGGTACTTTGTCTGTTGAAGCGAAATCGAACAAAGTCTATACTGATCCTTGTAGCTGTGTTTGTATATCGTTTCCAATTCTGCTCCTAGCTGTACGGAGCATATGTACAATATGAAATGAGTTGTGTTAAAACGACCCCCGAAAGACTATTTGGACTTTCCACTAGACTGAATAGGGTTAGAGCACGCTACTGGGCCCGAACACGAAGACGGAGCGAGGTGCGCTAGTAAACCCTGTTCTGCCACTTTTTGTCTAACCGCTGCCCATTCAAGACTAGAACCCGCCGCCAGCCTTACTACTTGGTCTGTCTAATCGGACATCCAGAATCAGATAGCCTTTCGGGAGGCCCTTTTAACACATACTTATGCAGGACCATGTACGGAGGGTGTAGTATACTACTAGTAGTACTGTGGCACCACTGACTATACTTGACTTACCTCTTTCGGCAATGGCCGGCTGACGGATCTTCACGCCATGTATTCCTTTCGCAGCTGCAGTTAGGTGGTTCATGATCCAGACTAGGTGCACTTAGGAGGCTTTAAGTAAGCATAGTACACTACTTGGACAGGTTGTGGCTGCGTAATTGAATGCACAGAAGTTCAAATGGACAAACACTGCCCACAAGCCTACAAAACAAATGCGTATCGCAAAGTTTACATGTCTGAGGGGAAGAAGTACAAAAAGACAAGGCTCTATGATGGAATAGCAGCACCTTGATAACAGACCAGGGGGGAAAAGATAGATATCCCGTTCCCCCGCCGGTGTCCTCTCGATTACAAAGAAGCCTCCATTGTAGTTGAGCGTCATATCCAACTAGACCATCGTGGGTTTAGATACATTTGTCTTTTCAGATATGCATTTATTAGCAAAAATATTTTTTCAAAGTGGGAAATAATTGGTACCCATCCAGATAAGAGCAGCCTGAACAGACAGAGCAAAGATCTGCCCGTGGTGCGCGCTCACCCTCCATTCAGATTGATATCATTAGTTCCACTTGAGCAAAGGTACATGTAGGCCTCATTGTATTAATCTCCACCACAAGCGGCCACAGAAGTCAGGCTCTAAAGAACCGCACGTTTACACTACAATCAAATCGCTGCCGGCGTAGAAACTGAGAGCTTTTCCCCTGAAAAGCAGTTAAGAAGGACAAGTGCAGAATATAAAACCAGAAGTGCTCTGTTTTTGAAAGGTTGATGCCTTCTGGACAGGATAACAATCAAGGTCTATGCCGACAGTGATGGTCTCGGCGGTACCATACGGTTCTGACTTTCTGGCTTTGTGGGTCGTAAGCATATCCTTAATTCCAAGTACTTCTTACTTTACTATTAACTTCTATGGTATAATGAATGCACCTGTGCATATAACACTGAATAGACCCGGTAAGCAAATCTCTCTCTAAAATATAGTAACACTAAGTGAATAAAGGATGTAAGTGACTGTTATTTCAACCATTACCTACATTCCCATTATTCAAATATAATCCCCTTTTCACAAAAACTGACAATGCGGGCTGATAGGACAGGCCACAGACAAATGGAGAAAGACAAGATATGCAGGATTTTCAATCTTACGCGGGCACAAATGAATATAGCACGACACACAGATGGAAGAAAGCCAGCATGGCGGCTAAAGGATCAATATAGTAGAAAGAGATATAATACGATTAACAAGGACTACTTTGTTTCTATTTTAGGTTGAGTAGCGTATGCTATAGCCTGTGTATAGAATCTGTGGCTATGGCCCATCAGCTGCCGGTGGCCCTGGAGGAGCCTTAAGGGGAGCTGCATTCGGGTAAAATTCAATAATCAATCAATTAAGAATGGTGCGAATGAATGAATATTGTAAGTGAATGAAAGGCCAGCTACCACAAGCTGGGTACCTAGATACACCTAGCACTCTGCCTATATATTCTGCCTGCGCAGGCAATCCCATCAAGATATTGAATCTACCCATCAGGGCCCAAGAAGCGATTACGCAACTGTCACACCTACTAGATCTTGATTCAAGCCTACAGAATGTCACAAAGTATGCAGATTGAGAGCAGAACCGCTCTGAAGGAATTCCAGGACGAGTTTCCTGAAGAGTTTCGCACCCATTACTCTTTTTTACGCCGATTACTACCTTTTCTCATAGAAGATTTTGATATCGGTATAGATTTGGGCTCCCTACCCGATGATGAACAGAACGAAACCCTTGACGAAGAGCGTCTTCGGCACTCAATAATGCGCAGGCTGCTAGATGACTTTTCGGACATCCACGGGGAAGTTGATCCAGAAGTAGAAACCATTGACGACATTGTGGATTATATCTTCCTGGTGAAAGTCTTCTACTGGTACTTGAATAGGAAGCCAAGAGAGCCATTGAATTTAAGAAGGGCAGAAGATGTTGAAACACGTGAACAAAGGGTTCGGAAGCGCCGTCAAAATTTCGATGAGAACCTCCGTTCGATTTCGGAAGGCAAACAAGAGGCAATACAACAAAGAATTGAGAAAGGGGCTGTCAAAAGAGTCAAAGCAAACTGTGTGATAAAGCAGGTTCCATCTCGACGGAGTGAAGGGTCACTCAGCATGAAGCAAGATTCTCCTGAACGTCAACAACCTCCTCAGAGACCCGAGAATATAGAGGGTGAGGCAATGCTGATTCCTGTGGAACAAGTGGAGACCCCGATTATTCTTGAAAGACTTGGCCATGTCGACCGCACGAGGATCCTAGATACTATGACATAAGGTTTTAGATAAATATGAGCCCCGCTATGGCAGCTTCTTGAGATCCAATACGGGATATAACCTCAAGGCCATCCTCGAGGATAATCTCAACCCACAAGTTAGGGCAATCTGCGAGGCTGGATCATTTGATTTAAGCAGGTGTGTTACTTTATAACCTCTTTGTTGAGATGTACATACGCTGAAGGGAATTATCTGCAGTTTGCTCCAAATTGGCAATATGGAAGATACTCCTGGTGTTGCAGATGTATATATGCACATCCTATACAGAAGGAGCAATCCGGACCGCTTCTGGCTATATGTGGGACAAGCATTGGTACTAATTACAAGAATATCAATTCACAACGATGAACGGCATAGACGAGCAAATCCTAGCTTGCACTATCATGTCTGGGAGTCGGCTGACGATATGGAATCGGTATTTGCTACGCTTGCAAAACACCATGTCGCACGGGATGCTTCCTTTGAGGATCAGCTCATCCTCAACTTCCAAGAAATGTGGATGGCTTGCGTTTTTCAAACAATGACATCAAGGCACTTAGTAGAGTATCTTCCCGATGGTGTGAACAAAGCATGGGCCGGTCAACATCTGAATGTTGTGCCCCCGATATGGCAGGGTTTTACAGACGACATATCTGCTTTGGGTGAAGCTATTGGAGGAACAGAGGCTTTTGAAAGATTTATTAACTCGCCGGATCCAGCCATAAGAGCCTGGGCATGGGATCTTCGACATGCCTTTCATGATCTTCGAAACTCCCCCAATCCGCTTCATCATTCTTACTACTCGGATACTATGCTTTTAGACCCCATCTGTAGGTATCTGATAATCCACTCCTATTTTGGACAAATCTATGTAGAGTTGTTACGGATAATATAGCTATTGCTACGTTGTTTGATTCTTACCCGGAAAGATGAGGATAGGCATTTATCTTATTAACAACACATCGGCATCGCTCTACTCTAGTATCTTACTAATATGTGGTCCTACATGGAAGGCGATCTTTCCCCATAGGGCACGATCTCAAAGCATACAGCACCATTCTCGCCCCACTGGGGTTCTTCGGAGACCTAGCAACACACGACGAAGAAGCACAAGACAGCGTCGTGTCTCTTATTGAAGCGTCATTCTCTCTCTCCAACCCATCTGGTCCGAGCGAAGAGGATTAGCGGAAATCAAAAGAGATTATTTCCCCAATCCTTTGGCGTACCGCCCATGGGCCATCAAAGCTCGTGATCCAAGCTATCATTATGCTAACCGCCGAACTCATAGCATTGTGGGCAGATGAATCCGAGGTCAAGTCCTTGTAGGACCCCGTCGATAGGTTTTATGAATGTGATGTGATATCAGGCTACAAATATACTTGGTAAATATATTTATTATAATATCTAGATTCGGAAAAATTATACGGCTTTTGTTCTTTGCAATATCAATCAAGGAAAAACAAAGAGAAATGTTGTTGTAGAGGAAGAATTTTATATACTCTTGGATATGCTTGTGTTAATAAATATTATATCTAAAAAATGTATACAGTAAGGGTCTTGTTGAAAGGATCTCTCAAAAAGCTATTTGGACCTCCTACTACACTGTATATGGTTAGGATCCGCTGCTGGACCTAGTTGAACTGCTTAAAATACTTAATATAACAGAGAATCTACTATACAGGGTAGACAGCCTGTCAACTAGGTAAGGGTACAGAGGCAAAAGTAGATGGTAGATAATAAGGAAGCAGAAGACTGATTCTTGCTTTATTCTAATGGTAACAATGTACTAATTTATAACTTAGAAGATCCTTAGATACAGTCAGTCAATCATAGAGACTACTATTCGTTATTAGAGAGGCAACGGGTCCGGAGTCTGTCGGTGTTATTCGGCTACCGAGGTATCTATACACAAGGGACAAGGTATCCTGTACAGTCATCATGCAGAATCAATGACGGAACTGAGACACTGCCTATCTATAGATCTTATCTCTACTCTGCACAGTGGGAGCCCAAAAATATGCCCTGGCTCCTCTCTTGTACAGTTGTACTTAAAGGTACCTACCACCTCATACCAGGCAGATAGAGCCTGCGGGTACCTTTAAGCATAGGAGGTCACATACTTTTGGAACCTCACTGTATACTGCCTTTTTCCTTAGATGTGAGTGCGTGTGATCCAGCTAAACCCTCCCAAGAGTCCCAACTAGGCCAAAAGGTCAGATAATTCTGAATCTACGATTCAGAAGCCCGGGATCGCACAGACTCGCACCTATATAGTATACCGCCGTTAAATTAGCTTAAACTGCTTGAACTGCTTGTGTTAAGGAAATATATACTAATCAGAGCAGAAGACTTGTCAACTCAGTAAGGGTACGTAGGCAAGAGACAGATAGTAGATACTAAGAAAACAGAAGACTGATTCTTGCTTTCTTCTGTTTTCAACAGAGTACTATTTTATAGCCGAAAGGTCTCCTTATATCTTGAATAAAATAAAATAAATACAGGAGCTATTGTACATTATTGAAAAGGCAGCGGGCCTAGAATATATTACTGCTGTTCAGCCACCGAGATGTCTATGCACAAGGGACAGGGTATACGATACAGTTATCATTGGATCTGTGACAGCTCGAATTACTTAGATTATTTGAATTATTTAGTCATAGCATGCCCGAAATATATCTATACTAATGTCATTTTGAATCTTTGATACTGTGCGTTGGTCGTACGAGCGCGTCCGACGACCCGAATTGTTTGAAAATTGAGATGCAGTTGATTGGACCGACTCGATTCTGTTCGACAGACAATCAAACGGCTTTGACGATTAGGTATATGAAGGGCCAAGATGCTCTATAACCCTGACTTCTGAGCTTAGGAGCCCTTCGGCGACCTCGTTCGGCCTAATATAAACCCTACCTACATTTAACTGAACCACACTAATTAGTAATTACAAAATTCTATACTTAATAGCTTGTGTCTACAGCACTTTCGGGTCTCAGACTCTCAGTATAGGAGAGCTGGTCTAGGAACCACTAACCATATATATATAAGGCCTAGGACCATAGGGATCTTCAGGGTTTAAATATACTACTAAGCAGGGCATTGCAGCGCAGTGGCACTTTAGGCTAGTTTAGCCCTAACTTTAAAGGGGGTTTCAAGAAGCAGCCATCTCAATCACCCAAGTAAAGCGTTGTATATTACATTTTAATCTATATACTAGGTCGCTTTTTAGTACTCCGTCCGTATATACATGTGGAAAAGTTCCGCTGTGTGTATTTCTAACTACTAGTACTTTGTATTCAGGTAGTGCCCTCGGGCCTCGGTTAGGCTTATCCAGTCCAGTTGTAACGGCGGTATACTATATAGGTGCCCTGGCTCTATCTCTTACAGTGCTAGTCTACGTCCTTTGATATAGGAATACAGGCTCTATTTGAAAGGGCTTGACTAGCTTGTTTTTAAGTCTAATAATTCGCTTAACTTCCTTCCTTATATAGGCTTAAGGTGAGGTCCAAATAACAATTCCCTAGATTATATATGCAACATATTACAGAGTAGTATTGTCAGAGAGGCTCAGAGCAAAAACAAAAAGTTACGCATCTCGTCCCCCGAGCCGGAATCGAGCCGGCGACCTTCCGGTACCAAGGTAAATCCTATAATAATTTCTATTACAGCCGGACGCCATATCCAACTAGACCATCGGGGGTTGAAGAGATATGTTTGGTTTTCGAATTTAGACTTATAAGTAGAATATATTATCAGACTCAAATTAAACCAAAAAGTTAG